CTTCCTCCCGGGAAATTGGGGCTTTGGGATCCTGGAAAGCCCGCGTCTTTTGGCGGGGATTGGCGTGGGTGGGGGGCGGGTAGCCGGGGGCCAGAGAGAGGGACACGTCCACATTTCCAGAAACAACTTAACTTCTTGGATACTTAAAAATTAAAAAAACATTTTCCTCTGAATTTAGTGCATTGGTGATTCAGTGGTAGAATTCTTGCCTTCCATGAGGGTTTGAATTCCCAGCCAATGCACTTCCTGGGCAGCAGCCACCCCCCAATTTGTCGGTGGAGGTTTTTGTGTTGTTAAGCTGAACAGCCCCTGCGCTTTCAGCGCTAGGAAGAAACACTTTGTGAAAGCAGCCAGTGCGAACTCGGTCGGGAATGGCACGTGTGAGGATAGCGTTCCTCTGAGTTTGTGCTTGCGTCTCAGGAGTCCATGATGACGCACTCCCTAGAGTACCCAAAGTCCAAACTCACTGCCATGGAGTTGATTCGACTTACAGCAACCCTATAGGGCAGATAGAAGGGGCCCTGTAGGTTGGAGAGACTATACATTTTTTGCGGGAGTAGAAAGCCACGTCTGTCTCTGGCTGGGGGTTTCGAACTGCTGACCTTATGATCAGCAACCCAACGTGTAGTCCCCTATGGCACCAGGGCTTTTCTATAGCGGCTAGTAGTAATAATAATCCTTGCTTGTGTCCTGTCCTCATTTGGTGCAAGGTCTTTTGTAAATCTGACAGGGTCTCGTTCCCCAGGTTCTTTAATCTCTTAAATCTTAATTTCTTCCCATATAACTTGGGGGGAACGACGAGATCAAACTCCTAGAATAGTGCCTGGAAAACGACATGTGCTCGAAAAAAATCTATTCTTATTGTGCATAAGTGGTAGATAACAGGACAGGGAGAGGTTATGAGGGGATTTCAAGAAATTCGTGAAAAAACGAAGTTACAAGATAAGGAAATTTCCCACACATTTATTGAAGCTCCCTCTTATACATAGTCATGGAATAAGAGAAATCATCGCAGGTCAGTGTTCAGTGACAAACAATGAAGGAAGAAATCTGAGAAGAAAGTCGGCTGTGCTGTTGAAGCCGTTGAAAGGGCTTCCTTACAGGCGAGTGCAGGACAGCCAAGTCCATCCTGGGGTCCTTGTCGCCATAGTCTGAACTCCCACCAGACGACCTTTTCTTGATGAGTCTGAGTAAAAGAAGGTGGGGGTAAAATACTAATAAGATTCAGCTCTGAGGACTTATTAGCAAGATTCATTGTGATTGGCATCTGCTAGGTATAAAATGAGCCCTCCAAAAAACAGGACCAGGGGGTCTTACTACCAGCAAGAGCCAGGAACCGAGTGCAGCCTCTGGGCCTGGAGATCTCTCCACTGTGAATGCAGTGGACCTTGCGTGTTCTGCTAAGGACCTTTCGTTTTAGCTTTCGGGAAGTGGGGATTTCTCTATGAAACACAGTTCCATCGATTTTTGTCTTTCCTCAGCTCCATACATGACACAAAATAGAATTTTAATGAATGATTTGGAATGAGTTGAGTGAATGATAAAATTAAAGATCATGAAATAAAATTCAGGTTAAATGACTCCAGTAATTTATTCACAGAATAAATATTATTTTGCATTTGTCAGGATGACCTAGGTTCTGATCTGGGCTCTGAGCGTCTGCCTGTATATAAGGTGATGAATGTGTGCCATGAGTTTACCTGCTGTTGTAGTTACATAATCTGGTGTCAATTTGGGACTTGAGAGGATTAAGAGTGAAGGGGTGGAGTCTAATCTATCTATCAGATCACAGCCAATAAGGCCTCTGTGTGGGCATGGCTTTCTCCTGAGAACACTCTACTCACTCCTTTGGAGACTCTACTGACAAAGCTGACACCCTGCGAGCCATCCTTGAGGAGAAGCTGAATTGACCTTCCAGTACTGGACCTGGAGAAGCCACATGGAGAACTCTGCCAGCATTGGGATTCTTACAATGCCACTGGATCTACAGGACTCCCACCCACGGCCCTCTGATCTTTGTGCATTTGGTGTTTCATGAGTCTGAAGAGGACTTTAAAAGTTGGTGTCAGACATATGGGCTAATATCAGATTTATGGACTTGATCTGGACTGGGCTGGGATGTTTTCTCAATATTCAACTGCTTTTATATATAAACCTGTTTCTTACGCAAATATGCGTGTTTATGAATTTGTTTCTCTAGTCTACCGGACTACTCATTATGGTAGCAGAAGTGGGGTACTGGAGAAACAAATCATAAAGATGGAGAGTAGATGCTTGTTTGACCTCTCCCTCATGGAAGTTTTCCTTCTTTGGCTAGCCAGAGGTCAGATATGTCCATGCAGTTTACTGGGTTCTTTTCTAGAAAGAACATGGAAAGTTAGCATTTTGATTCTTTTCATTTGTTGTAGTCTTTGGTTATTCCTGTGTGAAATGGCAAAAATGAAGGTGATTAATGTATATTTTGAGCTCAGGGGGCGAAATCGCTGTTTGAATTTCGCGGAGATGCTACTAAGTGAAAATGACTGACAGAAGGTCTGACAGAAAGCCTGGGTCCGTTTTGATGCTCTCAGAAGCCTAATTCCATATTTCGTATCAACAGAATCGTTTAGATAAGAATTTAGATAAGCTAAATAAGGATTGAACTTGATCTGGACAGGACTGGGACGTTTTCTCAATATTCAATTATTCTTGTATAGACACCTCTTTCTTATACGCATATGAGTATCCATGGATTTGTTTTTTAGGCTACCCAGACTAATACACCCGCCAATGAGAGACACTGACAATAAAACAGCCAATGACGACGGAAGTGTCATCGTGTGACTAAGCATCTAAAGAATAATAAAGCAGGGTTAAGTAATGCTTGGAGGAATTGCTGGAGTTTGGTTAGTTTACAAAGTGTCTGGAGTTTGGCTAGTTTACAGTGTCTGGAGTTTGGTTAGTTTCTGGAGTTTGGTTAGTTTACAAAGTGTTTGGAGTTTGGTTAGTTTCTGGAGTTTGGTTAGTTTACAAAGTATCTGGAGTTTGGTTAGTTTCTGGAGTTTGGTTAGTTTACAAAGTGTCTGGAGTTTGGTTAGTTTCTGGAGTTTGGTTAGTTTACAAAGTGTCTGGGGAAAGGAGCCTTTGGGCCGCAGGCTTGAATAATGTGAAGAAGTTAAGTTTGGGAACAGGTCAGGAAGCAGGCTACCACTTTATATGATCCAGGATCATTTAATATCACCTCATGTATTTTGAAGCTGTATTCTTGGGTATATGTCCATGCAGGATTTCTCACTCTGGTTTAAGATGTTATCTGATTGAATCATTTGAGTGGTCCCCACAAGAAATGGTTATCTATTTTAAGGGGGAGGGGGACATGTCTCTGCAGAGTTGAGTGTCTGAAATGTAAACTCCCACCTAATTCACAATAAAAATTTCACTTACAAAAAAGTTTGTAATTAAAGAAAAAAAAATCTTATGATAGTCTCTCTTCCCTCTCCACTGCTTATTTCTCCAGAATGGCTTTTAGGTGTACATGAGAGAGGGACTTACATGAACGCATAAATTTGAAGTACAGGTCTTTAAAATTTTTTTTTATATATAGTTTTTATTAATCACTTATTGAGGGGCTGTATCAGTCCAGGTTGACTAAAGAAACAAATTCATAGACACTCATGTGTATACAAAAGAGCTTTATATCAAAGAGTAATTTTATAGTCAGAAAACATTCCAGCCCAGTCCAGATCAAGTCCATAAGTCTGATATTAGCCCAAATGTCCGATACCAATCTATAAATTCCTCTTCAGACTCACAAAACACATGCAATGATACCGAATGCAGAAAGATCACAGGCCAGTGGATGGAAAGTCTTGTGGATCCAGTAGCGGTGTAAGCATCTCAGCGCTAGCAGGGGTCTCCACGTAGCTAATACAGCTCCAGGACTCTAGCATAGCTCCATGTGTCTTGTGATCAGGAATATGAAGCAGAGAGTGCATGTGTCTGGCCTCCAGTGAGCTATTTATATCTGTCAGGCCTCCAAATAAGGTCATCAAGCTGTGACCTGATTGACAGGCTAGACTCCACCCCTATAACTTATTTAACAAGTTGATACCAGATTGTATAACTGCCATAGGGACTCTTAGAAATTTTATAATAATCTATCATTCAATTGTATTAAGCACACTTGTTCATATGTTTCCATCAACATTTCCAAAACATTTTCCTTCTACTTGAGCCCTTGGTATCAGCTTCTCTTTTCTTCCCTAACTCCCCCACCTCCCACCTTCATGAATCCTTGATCAATTATTATTGTTGTTACTTCATGTCATACATTGTCTATTGTCTCCCTTCACCCACATTTCTGTTATTTGCCCCCCCCCATGG